AGGTAAGTATGCAATCTCTTATATAAACATAAAAACTAATATGCGCCTTCGGCGCTAGTTTTAAAAAATTGGTACATTGTATATTTAATTCATAATGAAGGTGATGAACAGATAATTCAGTGTAATTGACCCAATGTTTCAATAAATTATTTAAAAATTTTGCTTCATGACTTAAATTCACAGTTTATCTGTTTTCTCTGACATTTTTAGATTCACACTCCAGATCTTGGTGGTATGGCTACTACAACAGATGTGGTACACAACATCATGAAAGAAATACAGAAAACTATTGGTGCTGCAGCCATATAAGAATGCATACACCGATGTGAGATACATTAGGGGTTAAATCATTCATAAAGATAGTAAGTTTATTCTTGCCCTTTACTCTTGGACATGAATGTCATTGTTAGGCTCAAAGCAAATGTGCTCACATTTTCATTTGTTTTTTTTCACGGTTTTAAGGTAGTGGGACTATTATTTGCATACTTGTTTTCATCTTCTAATTGGGACCAAACGACTACAAATAGACCCAGGAAAGTATATATTTTTGGAATCGCCAGACATCAAGCTTTTCAAAGGTGTATCTGCATTCTACGGTGCGTTACTTTATCAAAAGTGAAAAATTACTTTTTTTGTAAAAAAAATAATTATGCATTTATGCTGGTGATAAGAAGTTTTGTTTTCACTTTTCTTAGTTGTTCAGTAGTCTGGTAAATTGAATGTGTCTGGTCAGTTTTATTCAAGTAACGCATTTTGAAAAGTAGTGTCCTGAATTTTAATTTCTGTTTTAGGCGCATTGACCCCAACACATTGGTAAATAATCCATGAAATAGTTTGTCTGGACACATTCAAGTTCCTCACATTGTCACCTTAAAGCTGTGAAAATTTGGTGTTAATTCGACGACAATAAGTATACGTTATTTTTTGTTAAAGACCTTGTATTTTGAAAAACATAAACTCCTAGAAAACGTCGATGAAGTCACAGCAAAGATTTTCATGCTTGTTTATCTGCACAAGCGATTTGTTTTCCCATCAAGGTCTGTTTTAACATGTGTAGTGGCATCCAAATGTGTAAGGCTATTGGAAACCAAAAAAATAAAGGAATGGGATAGCTATAGAGAACACTAAAATCAATGGTTTTGTTCAGTGGCTGTGTGACCTTGTGTCTGACACATTCATATGCAAACGACTAATCTGTGAAATAAACAGGGGCAGAGACAAACCACTCAAAAGTTTGGAAACACTCATTGTGTGTCAGATACTAGTAGCCACTGATAACACATCCTAACATTGCTTTGTCTTGAGTTAATCTTTGAAACTTATAGGCATACAAATTAAACCTGTGTTGTTGATTTTAGAAAACACTACTGAAGCTGCCTTGCTTCCTTCAGAAAATTTACATTTTAACCAACTTACATGACATTCTAGGTTAAGTTGACTTTGTCAGATGAAAGTTTATAGTGCATTTCATCAATTAATAAATAAATGTGAAAATCGTAATTTTCAACACAAATAATAGTCTCGCTACCTAAAGTTAACAATTGTATATTTAAAGTCTAACTGTCTTCAAAGCATTAATTTAGCCAGTGGTTGATAGTGCATGTAATACATGTTGAATTCAGAGTTTGATTACATACAGTTCTTATTTAATTTTTTAAGTATTTTATATGTATGTATATAGAGATGTGTAATATTTATCTTTTGTTTTTGTAAACAAATTTGTTTGTTTTTCTCTTCTCTAACTATAAGGTGTGGATTTGTATCATTGCAGTTAACTTTGTGTTGGTGATAATATTTTGGTAAAAGCATTTTAAAATTTGTAATTACAATATAAATCAACATGTTCATTATAGGTCATGTTTTTCTAGTTTCTTATGTAAACTGAGTAGTTATATATATTATTGAGTTCAAAACAATTTCCTGTATAAATTGATTAGCAGTGGATGAATGCCATACTAGCATGTTTTGCCCTTGAAGCATAAGTTCTTACATGAATACCCTGTTAACACATTGTAAGTTTGATGTACTTAAAATCCCACCAAAACTAACATTTTTTGCTTGCTCGTGCCCCTATTGTAGATGCACCTTTAATGTTGCAAATATGATAGTGTATGTTTGTACTAATTGGTTCTATATGTCAGTTTCCATTAAAAGAATTGTGGAGGTAAAGAGAGTTGCCTATATAAAATAATGAATTCATTTATTTCTCAAGTGATTGCAGCAATAATAGGTTGAAGTACAGATACAGGCTAGGTGTTAAAGCTAAGAAATGCATTTAGTCTCCATCTCTGTGATTTCATTTCTGAAATAGTCATTAATGAATATATACTCATGGAATTTGGAGTGAAAAGAGTATTCCTGGCCCAAGACCAAATTACAATTGGCAACAGTTTTAACGCTTGGTCTGATGTCTCACAATCAAAACTCCAAATGATTGTTGTCACAGTACTGTCTATGTTGGAATGGGTACCACAAAAATATCGATATGGATTACGTGGATATGGATTACATGCTGGTCATATTATATACACCAGTAACTTTCATTAGTCCCTGCAACCCGAAAAGAGGACTTCTAAAACAGGTTTCGAGATTCACAACAACTGAGCATGCTCAGAATAAATTGATTTGATTAGGTTCAAATTCAGATTAATGAATTGATGGATTGATTGATTCCAGATTCACAAGTTTTACAACTGAGCATGCTTAGAATAAATTGATTTGGTTAGTTTCAGATTCATGAATTTATTGATTCCAGATTCATTAGTTTTACCTGATTCATACGATCCTAAATAAATCAATAACAGAAATATCCAAAATTACCTCTCCCAACAACACTGAAAGAACTGAGCATGCTCAGAATAAATAATTAGGTTGTATATTAATGCTAACATGGCTTGACTATGTAAATTTAGTGACGTCATGACCTTTCCTGATCGGTGACAGAAATGAACCAGTCTGGTTTTCGTTTGGTTTTATGAAAAATTAACGCTGAAATCATAAAAAAAAGTGGTCAGAAATATTTTTAGACCTAGTTCGGACGAAGTCTGAAAACGGGGACATATAATTCGGTCTCAGTCTGTGCGTTCGTCCGGAGTCGTATCTCAGAATCCCTTGGACTGATTCCGTTCATTCTTTGCATGTGCCTAGTACTTTATGCGGGACATATGCACTGGCTAACTCACTGGCTTTTCATTCACGCACGTCTTTGAGTGTTTCTAAGGCAGGCCATTATTTAACTATTACGTCCAGGAGGCAGAAGGTCCTAACCGCCTAGGGTCATTGGCCAGCTTGTGTACAGACAAACTGTGTGAGAGAGACCTATTCACAGAAGAACAATTTTGTGATGAGTCCTAGGCCCAATAAGTCCTCCTAGTGAGGACGACATTTTAAGCACAGAAACCTTTTTGGGAGTTCCCCCTTCACTTTGCATTAAATTCCCCAGTTTAGGTTTGTGTTGTGAAAATAAATCTACTAAGAAACCTTTTCTCAATTTTAAGTGAAAGCAAGCATTTCCCCGTTTACAGGAAGACTCCTAGTTCAATGTTAGAAAATGGTTTTACTAGTTTTTACAAAATATTAATTTTGAACATATTAGCCTTTCCGTTCAGAAGGGTCAGTTGGGTCGAACAAAATATTATAACTAGTGAGTAAATGTCTATCCTTATTTTAATGGCAGTGTTAGTATTTATCTCCTGCCTCTTTTCCTACTGGGCATTTATGATCGACATAACTGTTGGTTTGGAGCTTAAGAGTGCTTTTGTAGTCCAAGGGTGTCAATCGATACTTTACTGTCGATTTGGTGTGTTTTTAGTATTCCATATTTATATAGCGAGCCATGCATGCCTTACCCTGCCCATCTCCTTACAATCCATTTGGTGTGAAGTAAGTATTCCATATTTACATAGTCAAACCATACTTGCCTTACCCTGCCCGTTTCCTTACTATCCATTTGGTGTGTGGTAAGTATTCCATATCATAGTCAAGCCATGCATGCCTTACCCTGCCCGTCTTCTTACTATCCATTTGGTGTGTGGTAAGTATTCCATATTTATATAGTCAAGCCATGCTTGCCTTACCCTGCCCATCTCCTTACTATCCATTTGGTAAGTGGTATTTCATATCATAGTCAAGCCATGCTTGCCTTGCCCTGCCCTGCCTGTCTCCTTACTATCCATTTGGTGTGTGGTAAGTATTCCATATTTATATAGCAAGCCATGCTTGCCTTAACCTGCCCATCACCTTACTATCCATTTGGTGTGTGGTAAGTATTCTATATCATAGTCAAGCCATGCTTACCTTACCCTGCCCATCTCCTTACTATCCATTTGGTGTGTGGTAAGTATTCCATATTTACATAGTCAAACCATACTTGCCTTACCCTGCCCATCTCACTATTCTTTTTGTGTGTGGTAAGTATTCCATATTTACATAGTCAAGCCATGCTTGCCTTACCCTGCCCATCTCCTTACTATCCATTTGGTGTGTGGTAAGTATTCCATATTTACATAGTCAAACCATACTTGCCTTACCCTGCCCATCTCCTTACTATCCATTTGGTGTGTGGTAAGTATTCCACATTTACGTAGTCAAACCATGCTTGCCTTACCCTGCCCATCTCCTTACTATCAATTGGTGTGTGGTAAGTATTCCATATTTACATAGTCAAGCCATGCATGCCTTACCCTGCCTATCTCCTTACTATTCATTTGGTGTGTGGTAAGTATTCCATATTTACATAGTCAAACCATACTTGCCTTACCCTGCCCATCTCCTTACTATCAATTGGTGTGTGGTAAGTATTCCATATTTACATAGTCAAGCCATGCATGCCTTACCCTGCCCATCTCCTTACTATCCATTTGGTGTGTGGTAAGTATTCCATATTTACGTAGTCAACCCATACTTGCCTTACCCTGCCCATCTCCTTACTATCCATTTGGTGTGTGGTAAGTATTCCATATTTACATAGTCAAACCATACTTGCCTTACCCTGCCCGTTTCCTTACTATCCATTTGGTGTGTGGTAAGTATTCCATATAATAGTCAAGCCATGCATGCCTTACCCTGCCCGTCTTCTTACTATCCATTTGGTGTGTGGTAAGTATTCCATATTTACGTAGTCAAACCATACTTGCCTTACCCTGCCCATCTCCTTACTATCCATTTGGTGTGTGGTAAGTATTCCATATTTACGTAGTCAAACCATGCTTGCCTTACCCTGCCCATCTCCTTACTATCAATTGGTGTGTGGTAAGTATTCCATATTTACATAGTCAAGCCATGCTTGCCTTACCCTGCCCATCTCCTTACTATCCATTTGGTGTGTGGTAAGTATTCCATATTTACGTAGTCAAACCATGCTTGCCTTACCCTGCCCATCTCCTTACTATCAATTGGTGTGTGGTAAGTATTCCATATTTATATAGTCAAGCCATGCTTGCCTTACCCTGCCCATCTCCTTACTATCCATTTGGTGTGTGGTAAGTATTCCATATCATAGTCAAGCCATACATGCCTTACCCTGCCCGTCTCCTTACTATCCATTCGGTGTGTGGTAAGTATTCCATATTTATATAGCAAGCCATGCTTGCCTTACCCTGCCCATCTCCTTACTATCCATTTGGTAAGTGGTATTTCATATCATAGTCAAGCCATGCTTGCCTTGCCCTGCCCTGCCTGTCTCTTTACTATTCATTTGGTGTGTGGTAAGTATTCCATATTTATATAGTCAAGCCATGCTTGCCTTGCCCTGCTCTGCCTGTCTCCTTACTATCCATTTGGTGTGTGGTAAGTATTCCATATTTATATAGTCAAGCCATGCATGCCTTACCCTGCCCGTCTCCTTACTATCCATTTGGTGTGAAGTAAGTATTCCATATTTACATAGTCAAACCATACTTGCCTTGCCCTGCCCTGCCCACCTCTTTACTATCCATTTGGTGTGTGGTAAGTATTCCATATTTATATAGTCAAGCCATGCCTGCCTGTCTCGCCTTGCCCTGCCTGTCTCCTTACTATCCATTTGGTGTGTGGTAAGTATTCCACATTTACGTAGTCAAACCATGCTTGCCTTACCCTGCCCATCTCCTTACTATCAATTGGTGTGTGGTAAGTATTCCATATTTACATAGTCAAGCCATGCATGCCTTACCCTGCCTGTCTCGTTTTTCATCTAATGTAGTATTAGTCTATAGAAAATTTTGAACTAATCATAGAGAGCCATTTGGACCAATTAGATTTTACTCTTGGGTTCGGGACCTATTGTGCATTAATATAGTGAATGCTACACAATCACTGCAATAAACATTAAGAAAAGCAAGACATGTTCAAAATGAAACTACATTGTACACAATTATGATTGCCCTGGGGACAATTCTGCCCACCAGAATATACATCCACTGAGTTTAATTAATTTAATTAAGTGATTTCAAGCAACGTACTCAGAGCATCTGTAACATGTAAGACTAGACAAACCTTGGTGAGTAACATTCTTGCAATTTTGTATTAATGCACCATTCACCTTTGCAATTGTTCATCAGGCATTGGTCATGTTCGGGTTGCAGGTGAGCAGAGAAGCGATTCTAGTGGCACAAATCTACTCTAAGACGTTGAAGGCAGTATTTTTTGTGGTCCTATCCCTGTGACCATGCATGACCTGACCTGGCCTTTTGCAAAAATACAGTTGGATCTGTTGAATGGCAGTCTATATGCCCCTTGATGTAGACGGGGGAGTTTAAACGGTTTTTATCTAGACCAATGATTACTAGCTTGCTTGTTATCAAGTGCATCCTTTTTCTCTCAATGTTTTGTTAAAATCTGTTCAAATCAGTCTTAGGTAATGGACCTTATTAATGTGTGCAGTTGTAAACGGAGTGTGTACCTATAATGGCTATCAAAGGTGTTCTAAAGCGAATCGAGAGATGTGAACCCTGTCGATTCAAGTCTTTGAGTTTTCTGCTTGGGGCATATTGAAATTATCCTAGTGACCCTAATAGTTAATGGAATGCAAGTAATACGAATCCCGATTTCACTTCCATTCAAGCAGTTACTAAAATATGTATGTAATTTAAACTCCAGGCAAAAACCAAGAGGGTTGAATTGGTGTGACAATGGCAGTGAGAAAGTTTTTTTTGGTTCCAAGATCTGTTGCCGTACTCATGATAAGTTTTGGTGAACTAGTGTGCTAGCCTATTACCAGTAGCCCTATTGTAGTGTGTCTTATAGACTGTGTCTTAATGCTTTCATTAAGTGAGTGTTTGTGTGGATTTATAGTATGTGTACTATTGTGCGACTGGGAAGTCTGTTATTGTGCGTCCTTGTAGTCTCTGATTTGTTTTGTCACGTTAGCATATAAACTATTATAATTTATAATAACAACTATCCATGTTATTTGGGAATTTTTCTTTGAATGTAATCAACTTTGTTTGCTGTAAACTCTTTGTAATTATGCAATCCAGTGCCCCTTAGGCTGACAAAATGGCCAATCTTAGCAGTTGTCTGTTTTTTATGTATGTATCTCGAACACACAATTGACCAATTGTGTCTAAACTTAGTATAGTATGTTTTCTAAAAGATGCTTATGATTTATTTCCCCACTCAATACAAAATGACGGTTTTAGTCAAATTGGAGATTAAGAGAGGGCTTGCCGGTATAACACTGACTTGTTCAAAGACGTCCTCTGCTATAACTATATTTGTATAACTAAATTTATCAAATTCTAATGATAAATATTTGGTGTTCAATGTATATTATTGACGCATATGCATCTATTTATTTATTTAGACATTGCCGATTTCGGACGGCAAGCGCACATCACATTTACTGGTTCTTGTATTTCAATGAAGTATATGATAACAGCAGGACTACCTTTTGTGTGATGAATACCCGGGTTTCTATCTCCTGTGAGTTTCGCTGCTATTGTTTCTATTCAAATAACCTTGCCTCTATTCTTATGACTGTTTAGAAGTAGGGTTTAGAAAGAAAGAGACTAAACGACTCGCTTGTTATCCATATGAGTGGTCTATGGTCAATTACTCTCGGTTGATAAAACTAATGGGTGACACGTATCTACAAAGACCACATATTTGACTGCAGTAAGATTAGAATCTGGCGGGCTACATATACGTATGTATTACTTCTCATCGATCATGTATTTGATTTATGTGATGACACTACTTTAATACCTAACATGAAAGTTCCTCCTGGATTTGGACCCCAAATTTATAAAACCAATGTTGGACTTTAATAGCGCAAAGCCAGCGTGTTTGTGATAGTCATATTGCGAGGTGCTGGTAGAGGTTTGCGCACTAGTGGTGTGGCAGTTAGTGGTTGTTGCAGCGATGTCTCGTTTGCACGTCCTTTCTATATTTGGTGTATTGATGGCAGTTTATATCGGTTATAACTTGCTGAGTTCGTTTGACGAAGGTACGTATATCAGGTTTATGCTAAATTGAGACGTCACCACTATTCCGTAATGTAGTATTATACTAACAGCGGAGCCTGGCGACTGACTGTATACACGTTTATTGTTTTACTGGCGGTCGAAATGCAGAAGCAAAAATCTGTGTTTATTCTAGAGGGGTGATAGACCTGGAAAACAAACATGCACAAAGGAAATGGTTTGGAAGCAAATTCTTCAAGGAAATAACCAAAGAGGTAGAGACCAATATGTCTGACTGCAAAACCCACGCAGTTACACTACCATCACTGTCTATCTCAGTACCAATTTGGTGCAATTATATATGGTAAGACAACACAGTATGAATAAATAAAGTGAATAAATTACAGTATTCAAATACACAAACCAAATACAAATCAAATGAAAGTGAATTCGAGTATATCATCACAGTACAGCAATTATAACAATAAATCATATACAAATCATGGAAAATGCAGCGATAAATTTGTGTGAATAATCAGCAACGAGCAAATTGTACAATAATACTGAGTGCTGTAAAGGGGAATTTATGTCGTGGGTCCCATCTGTCCATACAGCGACTGACAGTCCCACAAATACAGTTTCACCGATGTTTAATTGTAATACAAAAACAATTGTAATGGTTTGCATATTCCCTTCACTATTTTCAAAAGTTACAATGAAATTTAATCGACTGTCGGCAAATTGTGTCTATAAAAACTCAAATCGTTTATTAGAAAATGTAACCTCCTGTTTTGCAGCCACGCCTCCCAGACATGCCAACTATATTCATACTCGATATACATTGCGCTTTGCTGATATACGTACATTTGTGTTTGCTCTGATTGCCAGTGCTCGACTGGCGGCCATTTTGATTTTATTTTGATGTGTGTGACATGACTTGGTCTATTTTTTCAAAATAAGTTAAAAGACAAAACATAATACTAGTACTAGTAGTATACATATGCTCGTGCATTCGTGTTTCGTTTTGACGATCGTCAACTGGCCAGTGGGCATACTAATCCTCTCTAAAGCAAGATTTGAACATGTCTGGGCCGTTTTCGTTTACTCATTGGATTGACATTTCCCTTGGCGGTTATTGATTCGAATCATCTTGCATTACGTCACCTTGCGTTGTGATTTGATTCAAAATAGACTGGTTCTCAGATACACTTTCATAAAGTTTGGTTCAAAGTTTCAATTATACCTTACCAATTTAGGGATGGAACAGTAAAAAGGTGTGGCAAAATAAAGTTTACAGGAAAAGTCATGAAAAAATATCTGTAGAAATATTTTCCCTGCTCATATTTGATCATCGTGAAAAATCTGATTCTGAAATAAAAGAAAATAAATAATCTGCCAAGTAATCATATTTCCCATCCTTCATCTCAAAGTTGCTATTTAGTCACGGTCATTTCGTTTTTAGAGTTTTAATCTCTCCTTTCCTCATCTTTTTGCTTTCGTAATTTTGTTTAACCTTGTGTATGTTCATACATATGTTTATCCCGATTTCGTTTTGCTGAAATAAAATTTCTTTTGAATAGCTTCATCCCTGTGTCTCAACTGTCACTTCAGCGGAAACCAGAATTATTTCATTCACAATGATTTCTGTTTCGTTTGAGTAGAGTTGTTACGAGGGAAATCGATTTTAATAACTGGTGCAAGCTCTGGTATCGGGGAACAGCTCGCATATAAATACGCTCGTCTCGGATGTCGTATTTTGATCACAGCCAGGCGAAGAACACTTCTTGAAAAGGTCAGTTAGGAACTATAAAACAGTACAGATTTGTTCACTTCCAAAAACGTTTATATGTGTTGATGACTATTTTCTAACAAAATGTGTGATTATTATGTTCATTTAATTGTTATAAATTATCAATGCCTCATCAGTTGTAGTTTGACATGTTGATGAGGTGTACGTACTCTATAGATTAATGACTCATTAATATGTTTTTATATTTGGCAATATTCCTAGTGTGTTGTTCGGTTATTTTGCGAGTTTATAGAGGATATCTCATGAGTGACTCGAGATTGTCGTAGTTATTTAGCGAGTATAGTAATTTTCATTTGTTCCTCGCAAAATTCTCGAAACAAATAAAAAAATGCTACACAAGTCATCCACTATGTCCAATAATCTGTATCCCTGTATCTATTTTTAATTTGTGAATGCGTTCTAGACTTAAGAACACCGCAGAGCGTCCTGTCCATTTGCGTAAAAGATTACTGCTAGTTTAGCATATTGCGATTAGGGAATATCGTTATTTTTGGAGTCATATTTACGGTTTCGCGGATGCACTGGTACATAGTTACTAATTTTGGAGTCAAGTTAAATCGTAAACGTTTCACAATCCGTATAAAATCGTCACTATTCGCGAGGAAACACCTTTTAGTGCACGGAAAAAAGGGTTGGGAGAATTTGAAATAACGTCGCAAATCTATACTGCTTTCTATCACACACGCATGTTAGTCGAATTCTAAAACTATCAAAATTATTCAAATTAATATAATTTTCTGTTGTTCAGTCGTGATGTACTCTGATTGCGTGGATCAACCAGACTGCCTGGATTGTTACATATTCTGTAATACACGCTAGATCTGTTAGTTTTATGAAACTGAAATCCGTTTGATATGTTGATAATTTCACGAGTCAAAGTGAAAAACAGCCTGTCTTGTCACATCACAATCTTTTATTCCAGCGATTTATTTATTACTTTAATGACTAAGAAAAAATTAAAATGTCGAAAAACTAAAATTGAACAAAACTAAACTAATCTCTGGGAATCACAAAATTGAAAGAATGATAGCAAACATTTGTCAAATTTGAAAAAAACACACGATTACTTACTATTACTATAAACTATAACTAAAAATTAGTTTGGCTAAACTTAAGACCAGCAATCATAAATTGTTTATTGAAAGAGGCAGATATACACATCTCGAAACACAAATCATGACAGTGCGATAGCAATCTCGGGGAAGATGAAATACATTTTCTGATGGAGTGATCTAATTTTACGTCAAGACCCAATTTTCCATCACAAATTATACTTCCAAATTTATATACTCGATGCAGACTAACAGATATTCACACTGCTTTCAACGAACTAAACATGCAAACTTATTTTTCAATTCATATTTATGTACTTGTTTTTTCCCGTAAAATGCTATTACTACACACTGATATAAACTTGTATTTTTGAAGATGGAATAAACTACATTATAATTGTTATTATTAGATTTCAATGATGATTTGTGATAATGACAGACCTGGTAAGGTTCAGTCAGAATCTATACAGATTAGCAATAGCTAATAGTGGTATAAACTGCCTGAAAACACACAGAATGTCTTTTCTTTTTAAATATGGAAACCCTACTCCCAAATAAAATTTCGTTCGTTTTTCTTTTTGGAAAACCGTTGACCGTCAGACCAATAAGCCATTTTTTGCAAGCTGTGAGATCACGCGTGACCACGGTTTACGCACCTGAGCGACCAATTGAGTCACGTGATACAGGTCAAGCTTTCAGTTCAATATGGTAGCAACCACATTGTCCTACGCGTTGTAAACCTCATCTCGAAATAATATCTGTCCCAATGAGAGTCAAACGGTGCGCTTACGGCGAATGTAAGAGTGATTCTCGCTTTCAGTACAACAATAATATGTATGCTGTTTTTTTGCGATTCCCTAAACCAAAATCGCAGTCTAAAAAGTGCGATCATTGGAACAGTGCCTATTCTCAGGCGGACAATTTTGGTCAACACAAACTTGTTTCAACTTTAATGAAACACCTGTATAATGGATGTGTTCACTTGTGATATAGCCATGTACTTAATGTGGTTTAATTTCAAATTATGTTTGTGGAAGGTAGTTTAATATTATCGAATACGACTAATATTAAAACTGTTTTTGGCCCCTTTCTTTTTTACTGTAAACACTTATTTTCAACTATTTATTCATTCATATGGTGAATCCATTATATTAACACTATATATTTGAAACACAGTGTTGCAATCTTGTCGTTCATTTCTTTTTAGGTTTTGTTTTTGGTTTCCCTATGCGACATGTGTTTACGGATCTACTGTTGAGTATATTATTTTCACTTTTGTAACTTGAATATAAATTGGTTAGGTGACTGAGACTGTTGAACTATTTAATAACGTTTCAATATTGTAGGTGGGCGAAACATGTATGAAACTGGGTGCAGAGCAGGTCGAGATTGTTGCATTCGACATGGCAAGGTATAATGCAATAGATGACATTATAAACGAAATAAAACTGAATATTGGTCGTCTGGATTATTTGATTTTAAATCACGGTCTTTTCTACTGGGAATCATGGGACGGAAACCTCAGCCAATTAAACTATATGATGGATGTTAACTTTATGTCTTTTGTTGCTTTGACTACGAAGATGCTTCCTTTTCTGAACGCTTCAAACGGTGGTATTGCAGTTGTATCATCTGTAGCCGGTAAGTCAGTGCGACACGAACTGAGGGCACCGCAATGGTCTGTTATAAAACCATATTCATATATTAATGAGCAAGTTTCTGCTCAGATTCAAAACTATTGTGGTGAGTAACTGGCATAGAATTGAACAATGGATTGGACTGACTTTGATATAGCATTTCTGTCACTGTGTATTGTTTTGCCACAGATGTAATTTAACACAAAACAAAACACCCGCTAGCAAACAGAAATTGCGCCTATATTCACACGCAAATGTTTAGTGCTGTTGTATTCAAATGCAAATTAATCGTCTATTTGCAATACACTCAATTATTTGTGTTATGTTTATACTTGTCTGTTGTAAGCTCTCAGAGTATAACCCGTGCTGCAACTACTAGAACTACAGCGTAATTTATGTCCGGTAATTAAAAAGATAAGGGCCTCGTACACCTGCGTTCACTCTAGCTTTTTCCCAAAATGTTCGTAAATATGGCGATCACTGGATAATGCATACAATGCTGCTGACCCGCAGATATTAATATTTTTGGTTGACTATGTATTTCTGTATACATTTTCATTTATTATACGTCGTCGACGCAATTGAGCATCAACAATTAATACATCCTGGCCATGCTAAAAATACAATAATAAAAACATGAAAACACTAAACTTCAAGTCGGCTCCAAAACCGCAGAAAGAATAATCATTCACACAGTATGCACTGATATCTATTGCAGGTAAAATGGGACTACCATACATGACTCACTACAGCGCCACCAAGCACGCCCTGGATGGATTCTTCCGTAGTCTGAGACACGAGTTGGCGCTATCAAGTGTCGACGTCAGCATTACTATTTGTACAATGGGAGGAATTGATACAGACCATGCTTTACAAGCTTCAAAGCACGTTCTCAGTGCTTTCTGGTTCCGAACCTCGGCTTCAGATGCCGCCGAATATATTGTCCAGTCTTCAGCCTTGAGAAGTACTGACGTGTTTTTCCCGTGGCTGGATACTATGCTTCAAGTGTGTTTAATTGATAGATACTTTCCATGGTCAATTCCATATTTTCATATTTAGCATGCCTGTTTGTTATAAATGTGATAGTTACTGTAGTCGTTGCAGTGGCGGATCCAGCAAAATGTATTGGGGGGGGGATTAACTATGCGTAATCCAGATAATATGATTCGTCATGCGTTGGGGGGGGGGGGGCTTGCCTGGATCCGCCACTGAGTCGTTGTGTACCCATATTAACTCATGAATTTGTCAGTACTCAATATTAACATCTTAATCGCGAGTTGGATCACGATTGTTTATCCGTGTAACAAATACATAGCTGAGACTAGGACAAATGTGACAAATATACTGGAAGATACTTCAATATCACGAACGGTGTTACATCTCCCATACATGCATTTAAATAAATTTACAAATTTACGCACCATGATACGTCTTTGAACACTCATGCGGTAGTGATTGTTATGGTACTGTTACGTTGCTGTACTACTGCTTTCCATGTACTAGACATACATACAGTTACAATATAGTATCAGTAAGTTTCCAGCAAATTGAATGTATATCGCGTGTTAAACCTGTAAAACAATCAGAATTACATTCGAGAGATTGCAATATTTCCGGATATGAGAGTAGAAAAATGAAAGTGAAATTGCTTTTAATATATATTAAACAAGAGTGATTGATTGAAAATGTTTAAATATGCATAACGTATTTTAATATCATATTGTAAATCTAGTGTCGATGTAATGTGTACGTCACTAGGAGGACTTTTAATTTATATAACTGCGGAAATTGCAGTGAAGCTGAAGGACCGTAACAATGCCTACGTTCACTTGAGTGAACTACGTACTGTACTGTATATATTTATGTCTTTGTTGTATTACTTAAGATGTACGTAGTTTTTCATTATTGAGTATTAATGACGTAGACACACATATTTTAAAATTGACATGCATTCTTAAATGATAATCTTTAACAACTATTTCACGTGTCTTGTGTCAACGTGCAATACGTTCCACGAAGCTATGAATTTGTTTATAATTTCTAATGACGATTAAAAATAACTTGACCAATCACACGCCTCGCCGGATGAATATCAGTTAATCAGTGGTCAGTTTATCTATAATCTCGCTTTTGACATTTAACGTTTTGTGCCTAACGATGGTTGTACTTGTATTGGTATTATTTTAAATTTATTAATTAATGTAGTACTGTACTGAATTTTGAGTTGTCAATGAAAAAATGTCTACGTCAGTGCGATTCTCTTGTTAAAAAACGCATTCACTGAACCCATTGAATTTATTCCATCGTCAAGTACGTCGGAACTTTGGTGAGCTTAATTGTTTTTATGTTTGGGGGGTATAAATGTCCATTCATGCCTGCCTGAAACGCATTGTATTGTATCGCCTATAAACATAGCAGAGAGCCAAAAATATGGTGCTCTTGGCACGCCGTTACGTTGTTGGTTGGTATTTCACTTGGTTCCGCATCCATGTAATTGAGTGATTGATATCAGATGTACGAGATGGTCCGTTAAACTAATAACATGAATGCTGTTGCCAAAAGCCTAACTTCGAATCAATCATTATTATTTCTATTTCACAACAAAATAATCGCATATAGCTGCACTGTACAAAACGCAGTATTCCGAACAAAAGACACGCCATACATTATACGGTATCTGCCTTGCAAAAAGCGATGACGAGATGTTCCTTTCCGAGATGTATTTTACAAACTCTTAAATAATTATATATTAGTACATATACATCTTAATTATACCTGGCTTGTGCCGTCGCTTTGTTTACGTGTGGTGTTCTTAAACTATTACCTAAAATGGATATAGATGAGTAGAGTTGTTAATTCGTCTTTTCACAGAATATAAATTGAAGGAGAATTCAGTATTTCGATATGTTTGGTGATTTTCTTAATTAAATGGGATTTAGTTTATTTTTAATCAGAAGACATTTATATTTCGATTTCAATATTCTACTAGCAAAAGCTACAAAGAATCACGCACCGTATAATGTCACCGATATAGCACTCGTACAACTTTCTAACCCTGGAGAAAACAAGTTAGAAGCACCCCGGGAGTACTTAAAATGCATATGTAGGTCACATCGACCGAAATTTCATCACCGCTCGTTACCGTTCACCACCGTTTAACAGAAGTTGCCCCCCCGTTAAGGCCGCAAAGCTGCACAAAATATTGCGAGCGGTGAGGAGCGGGCAATTTTCGGCTCTGGCAAAGTTCACCACCGCTCTAACAACGCCCAGACAAGTTTGGCAGCGCTAGACGCAAGTTCGTGGACGCTAGGGTCCGCTAGTCCAACGCAAAAATCTTGAACGCTGGACACCGGGGCTGGACCACCGCTGCTTCGTCAGCTTTGCACTGGCGGTGATTAAACGTTGCACAAACTTTGGTGGAGCGGTTGTAAGTATTTTACGAGCGGACATGGGAATGCTGGAATGGTGTCGGGCGTTGGAGCAGCGATCCATTGCGGTGATGAACTTTGGTTTGGCGTTGGTATGGAGGTGTCGCAACTAAACCAACGTTCGTTACCGTTAAACTAACGCTAAAGCAACGCCGGCTTCAGTGGTGCACCTCTAAGGCAACGCCCGTGTTTTCGATTTTTTTCCCATTTTGTGCGCGGTGACGAGCGTTGTCTAAATTCCACCCCCTCTCCTTACCGTTGAAGAAACGCTCCAACAAAGTTCGGTCGGTGTGACCGGGCCTAAAGCTAAACAATATTTTATCATATCAAACAACTCACCAAGACTATTACAACTTTGCCAATGTGGTTTATGGACAGTAATTTTGAATACGTGATCTGACCACTATTTTGTCGTGCATCTACGTGTTAGCTAATGTCACGTGACTGTCACTATCTGCATTTGTGATTTTAGTTGCGTCAAAACTAATTATGCCAATTCTGTTTACATTAATGTTTCAACTGATTATCGCCAAATGTGATTAATAACATAATTCCTTCGGCGAGAAAGAACAATTAATTAATCATTAGGCGTGTTTGGAATTAAGAATGACGCTCAGGCTGATGAAATAAATTAAACAATTTACTTCCTGTGTGAATGTGTATTGAATTGTAATAAAAGACGGATGATATAATTGTACACTTGTCTTCTTCTTTTCAAGTTTTATTTTGTCTTCGTTCTTACTCAGAAGACGAGAATAATGCGTGCGTGTGAAGGCTGATTCAAACGTACTCGGCATGATAACGTCTTCTAACATTGAATTCGTAGCATTCGGCCTGGTCTGTGCTCATGGGACGGTGTTAGTCATAAATTATATTGATTGTGACATTTTATTCACATGTCACATATTCACATCCTCCTGCCAAGGGCACACTTTATGACCAAGAAACGAGTGTTTATGTACTTAAATTTCTTTAGTTTAAAATAGTTCACTTACAGACTGTCTATATAAATGCGATTCTCTTATTAGTATATCGCCCCCTTTACCAAAACCATTGAATTAACTACATCGTAATTATGTCAGGTCATGAATTGTTTTCATGTTTGGGGTGAAGGGTAATAAATATATAGATTCATGAGTAAAAAATGTTTGTATCATAGATTCATAATAATAACATAACATCAGGTTTATGTGAACATGAACCAACATTGTTTGCTCAATATAAAAAAAAAAAACACCATTTACGAAGTACTCGGCGAAAAGGTGTTGTTTTTATTCACACCAAAGTTAAAGCGGGAGGGTCGTCACCTCCTCACACACGGGAATTGAGTCCCAAGCGACGATAACAACACACGCTAAAAACGCAAAGGCTCATGGGTAGACGCATGCGCAGGTGACGACTCTCCCGCTTTAATTTTATGAGCACACACAAAGCCTGCAGATCAATGCAGTACGACAATCTCGAATAATACACTTTATTTCCATATTACGTAAACATTTCCTGGTGCGTGCCAGTATCTAGGCTCCAAATAACACATATTGCTTAGTGTGAAAGAAGTCAGTGCAACCGACCTTTCATCAAAGAACAGACAGGTTTTTAATTTCCGCCGGCTGTCAAGTTGTAGAAATTACCAAATTCACAATACTCGGCTCAAATTAATTTGTTAAGTGAAAGATAATTATCTTTCAATTCAAACGTTGTATTGGCGTATAATCAAAATAATCATCTCTCCGTTGCTGTATCCTGCCAGGCATTTTATATCGTGGAACCTCGGTCTAAGACTATTGTTCCCTTTCATTTATAGAAGCATGGTTGGTCTACAATACACAAGTATATATTAATAATTTAACAATAAAATGACTAAATGTGCATATGTGCGACGTGATTTGTTTGAGCATGATCGACCAGGGAATGTATAAGATTAAGTTCAGGAATAGCATTCGTTATTATAAAACGGCCGCCAGTCGACAATTTTGAAACTGATCTGAAAAAACAAAGTGACGCGCATCGAGGTCCCATAATGTCTGATGTTTGTACCAAATTCGAACGAAATTCGTCCATACACGATCAAGATCCGATTTCGAAATGACAGAAATGCTTGATTATGAATCGGATCGCATATGTATTCCAAGTCGCATGACGTAAGTGTGAAGTTTGAATGTAATTCATTCAAACATGTTCAAAAGTTCACGAAAGATCCTGTCTTTGAACGGGGACTAAAACCGTCTAGGTAGAAACGTTGAATGTACGTACTTATTACCTTATCTTGTTAATATTATCTTTCATATTTGGACGTGTTATAGCTCCCCCGAGAATCATTAAAGTGCGGAATTGTGTTTTAGCTACTTTATAAACTATTAGCTGGCCCTCTAGCCAGCTAGATTAGAAATGTCTACATCCATTTCTAACATTTTTAGTTTATAAACATTT